GCATGATGGTCTCTGAATAGTGAAGGCCGGAGGCTGCTGAACGTGTAAAATTCGGGGCGCAGTTCGTGCGCATTTGTGGTCGCTAAGCTCGTGGTGCAGTTCGTGCACATTTGTGATGACTAAGCTGTTCGTGGAGGCTGGGCTACGCATGGCGGGCTCTGAATAGTGAAGGCCGGAGGCTGCTGAGGCTTGAGCGCGTTGGAGGCTTTGAAACGACCGACCCAACATGACTGCAGGTGAGCTTACCTCCCCGTGCATGTGTATGCATGTTGTTCTTTTTCCTTTTGTTACTATAGATTGTCTGCGTTTTTTCTTAACTGCTCTCTCTCTCTCTCTCTCGATCAAGATTAAGTGAAATCGAACGCTCTCGATCAATATGACCTCTCTCTCTCTCTCACTCATTCAAGATCGTCGATCCTCATGCTCTTCCCCCTTCCTTATGAACCGAAAGAGTGAGAGAGTTCGCCCCGTAGCATGATCGAAATAAAAATCGAAGCAACTTTTTTTGCTTTGATCAGTGCTACGGGGTGAACTCTCTCTCCCTCTTTCCCTCTCCCTCGATTTATAAGGAAGCGGAAAGAGCATGAGGATCTATCTAGAGAGAGAGAGAGAGAGAGAGAGAGAGAGAGAGAGAGAGAGAGAGAGAGAGAGAGAGCATGGGGAGGAAGAGCTTCCTTTACAGTATATCACAGCCTTTGACGTGTTCTTTCCCCTTTTTTTGTTCTTAATTAATGATGCAGGCTAGTATGTGATAGACGTGGGCTTTCTCATTCAGCATGACGAATATTATGGGCCAGTAGAGCATGCGATACGTTCGCCATAACTGGGAATACTACTGAAGAGATGGCTGTCGGTGGAGCACGGCAGCTTTTCTTGTGTCGGCTGCCCAAAGCATCGGTCTTGGGATCAAGACCTCCCGGTGATCCGTCCGCGGGCGCGGACCCGCTACCTCCGCCTACGAGCTGGCAAACGGATCCTAACGATCCTTCGCAGGTGGCCATAGCCGATGGATCAGGAATACTTCGTCTGGTCCGTGTTGTGGACCAGGACGCTGGACCTGGATTTGCGCGCGCATTCCGCTGTTCTGATGATGACCGAGAGAGATGGCAGTACCTTGGAGGTCACTGCCAAGAAGACCAGCTCCGAGTCAGCGCGTGTGCAGCCTACCGGCTCTTCATGGTTTGCTCCACAGGGCAGGAAGATCATGGGACTTCAGTGTCTGCTGCTGGTCGTCCTGGTTCAAGTGCTGGCCTTGCTAGTGGGCCTGGTCCTGGTTCTCCGGCTCACGCTCATCGAACGCAGTACGATAGGCAGTGTAATGGCCACGTGCAGCCTAACGGGAGGATGGAGGAGGTAGACAATGCCAGAAGTAGGCCGCAAGGACATCTGGTTCCCATCTTGCGACCTTGGGGAGCCTTCAGCTACGTGCGAAACAAGCCTGGAGAGATCTTCTTCCATCAGCAAGGATCTAACAAGATCTTGTTTGCAAGATTGCCAGGCGCAGGCGAAGGCGAAGGCGATTGTGGCGGGAAGGATTTGGAGGATGCAGGGCAGCTCTATGGGGGACAAAGATTTGGAAGACAAGCACGGGACGGTGATCCACCGGCAGGCCTGGGTGATCGGTCGGGGGGAGAGAGGGTGCAAGGAGGAGCAGAGGGAGGTGGTGAGAAGATCACGGTGCGGGGAGGAGAACTTTGTCACCCACAGAGGCTGATGAGCAACAGCAGCAGCATGGTCTACTCGCTCGGCAATCACCCGGCATCAGTTGCCTGCTTCGCCGTGAGCCCCAAAGGTTCGTGGCTCGTATCAGGAGGAATCGACGGTTCTCTACGGTTGTGGCGTCTTGAAGATGGTGTGTTGATCTCCCGCTTTGATGCGATTGAGGGTAAGGGTGGGGGATCTCTGTCTCACCAGCCCGGCCGCACAACCGCTGACCACGTGGCAAGATCCTCAGGCACGATAGGCAGGGACGCCGGGACGAACGGAGCAGAGATGGTTGGAGTGGCAGTTCTGGAACGAGCTGCCCCTGTCGCAGTATCTTCTTGGACAGACGGCACGGTTGTTCTATGGGATGCAAAGACACCTCACATGCGAGCTTGTAAGTGGCTGTCGAGCATGGGCACGCTTGCGATCACTGCGATGGCCCTCCACGAAGTAGGAGGAGTCTCAGAGAGGAATGGTCACCTGCCGAGCAATCAGAATGCCTTGCAGCATTCGTCAGTCATGCAGCAGCGGAGCGGGAATCTGACGCATTGCAGCATTCCTATGATAGATGACTTGGGGGCTGTCACCCGATCGGCCGTCACCGCAGCTAATCCGACGGTAGAAGCTCTAGGTGCCGTATGTGTACTGGCGATTGGCACGGAGGAGGGAGAGATACACACATGGGTCGGCAGAGAGAAGAAAACAAAATTGGGCGGGAATAGAACACGGGGAAGAGGAGGTATACCCAACGAGGGAGTTGGTGGGTACCGAAGAAGGCAGGAGGGGGAAGAGGAAGAGGATGAAGAAGAGGAAGGCGAGGAGGAAGAGCAGATGTGGGACAGGGCCCGGCGACCAGAAGAAGGAGAATGCCAACCCGGCCACAACATTGGCAATGCAAACGGTTGTTCGGACAGTAGAATTCGAGGGCAAGATGGACGACCGACGTCGGCGGCGAGCGTATTACGAATGCATGTCATCTCTGCAGAGAGCAAGAGAGAGACGAGGGCGTACGACTGGGAGCATGTCTCCGTGACACCCTTGCCACTGCCTGTACCTTGGGAACGTTCTCGCGGGCGAGCGGCTCGACGTGTCTTGTCCATATGTTTCACGAGCTGTGGGAGGTCACTGGTCGCGCTGCTAGGTGGTCGTGGGAATGAAAACCGTACCGACAGGGAGGAGATCGGGGAGGAGAAAGGGGAGGAGAAAGGGGGCAAAGGGATGCGGCGAACACATGGCGTTGAGCCCCTCGCTCTCCCCTCTCTCCCTCCACTCATGCTGTGTGTTTACGATTCTTCTAGACTTCTTCAAAGTAGCAGGAGTCGAGGCAAAGGGGGAACTTCTTCAAGCTTGAGGCTCTGCGGAGCTTCTCTGCTGGATGGGACGAAAGAGAACATTATGCTCCCTATGCGTGGCCTAGCGGGCTGGAGACTGCTCCTTCAGCCTGTCCAATTGAGGAGGCAGCTTCCACATGAAGAAGAAGAAGAAGAAGAAGAAGAAGAAGAAGAAGAAGAAGAAGAAGAAGAAGAAGAAGAAGAACGAGAAGCAGTGGATGATCTTGCTGAGGATAGGAAGACTGGGGGAGCATCCTGGAATGCGTCTTACGTTGGCGTGAGGGAGGGCGAGGGGGCCAAGATCCAGTGCGGAGGACGCCGAGCTCATCATCATGTTCCCCATCGTCATCTGGGCAATTGGAACGCTGGAGGAGGAGGTGGTGCTGATGTCCTGTTGGCAGTTGTGGTAATAGGAACATCAGGCTGTGTTGCAAAAGGAATACTTGGGTGGGAGAAGATCCCGCGGCCTGCATTTGGCGAAAGCAACGACAGATCACCGACGAGAAATCGGGCAACGGTGCCGAGTCAGAGGGAGATTGACTGGCATCAGGACATGTGTGCCACGCAGAGCCGCTTCCCAAATGGCCACAAGCACACACAGGGGACAGCAGTGTCAGAAGAGGGAAACGGTACTCGAAATGTCACTAGCCGTCATGGCACTGGCTCACAGGGTGAGGACGTGTCAGCCCTCGTCGGATACAAGGACACAACAGGCACAGGCGCTGTCGTGAGAGAGAGCAGTATGGCTTGGGAGGGGATTCTTTCTGAGACGACTTCTGGAACGGCGAGGACGACGGCTGCTGCCAAGGTCGGTACCATGTCGCCAGTGGACGGGATAGCGGAGGGCAAACAGATAGCCGTTCATCGTGCGGAGCTCGTCGAGCGGGAACAAGCAACCGACAAGCGAGGCCGAAATCTGCAGAGCAGGTTTTCTGACAGGGGAGGTAGTGGTGTGGGGTCTCTTCATGCTCGAGGTGATGCTGCATCTGCCACAGCAGGTCGAGAGGAGGAAGGAGGAGGAGGGGGAAAAGGAGGGGTACAAAGAGGTGGAGGACAGGCACCATTCGCTGAGGATCGAGGAGAAATACAAGCATCAGCAGGAGGAAGAGGTGGAGCACGTCGTCCTGGTGCTGGCGAAGGAGGAGGAGGAGGAGGAGGAGGAGGAGGGGGAGGAGGAGGGGGAGTAGGAGGAGGAAACAATTGGGAGCAAGTGCAGTGGTCAGGTGGTGTCGGGGCCTTCGCCGGAAGAGGGGTTATGTTAAGGTCGACTGGGGCTGGAAGAAGGGTCCACGAGGCGTCATTGACAACTGCAATCGGGGGGAATACTGGTCGTCAGGACGACCTGGCAAAGGGTACTGCAAGAGGTCTTGGGAACGCCGAGAGAAAGGAGAATTCGGTCGGAACTAACTCATTTCGAGAGCGTTTGACCGCAGCTGAAGAGGAGACAGAGGAGAAGGAGATTCCGGTTCCCGCCATCCCTCCCTTGCATGTGCGCGAAGCTCTGATGCGATTAAAGAAAACCGCCGGTGGTGGGGATGGCACTATCAGTGCTGGTGGTGAGTTGCAGTCCACCACCTCAAAGAAGCAGTTTGCCACATCCTTGTCAAGGAAGAAGATGAGCAAGGGAGGAGGAGGAGGAGGAGGAGGAGGAGGGGGAACAGCGGGAGAAGCAGGATTGACTTCCAGGAGCAGAAGCGGGGTTTGGTTCCAGCCTGGGATAGCGAGTGCCAAGGACCGAGGGGATGCCGCTGCGTCTGCTTCTTTGCTGTCACGTCAGCAGAAACGCATGTCCACGTTACCTGAAGTTGATGGAGAGGTTGAAAATAGTAGGCATGGAGGTGAAGGTACAGGGAGGAAGGAGGACAGACGGAATCCAAGTGCACCTTGTTCTGATGACATTTCTGCGTACTTTGACAGACGAGCAGGGGGCATGGCAGGGGACATGTCAAGAGGGAAGTCGCAGTGGAACTGTCTACAAGAAGGGGGTAGAGAAGGCAGCTCCCATCTTGATTCTCGAGATTGCGATAGAGGGAGGAGAGAGGGTGGGGGGGGAGGTCAGGTTGGAGGAGGCTTTCTAGGGCAGACCAGTCAGAGTGGAGGGATGGCAAAGGGGCTAGCTGACCAAGGTAATGACCGGCTTGGGCCAAAAATAAACTCCACGCTGCAGTTGATTCAGAAACTGCAGAAACTGAAAACTAAGGTGCGGGACGAAAGCAACAACCTTGGAAAAGAAAAAAAGGAGAGCAAGCAATGTGAGGCTTCATCGTCCAGAGTCCCAAGTATGGGAGATGAAGGCCGTGGAGGAGGAGAAGGGTCAACCAAAGGCCGTGCAGAAGAACAAGGGCTGACGGATGGAGGAGGACCTCGCAGACAAGAGTGCCTTGAGAGGAGTGCTTCTGAACAGGGCAATGGCGATAGCCTTGGGAAGAGAAAGGGCGATCAGAGTGCTGCTGGGGCCAGAAAAGGACATGGTCACACGTACAATGATTTGACACCCCTGGATGATCCCGTGGACTGCGACGTCAAGCCCAAGTAAGATCACCTTTTTCGTTTCTGTTTGTTCGCAATTTGAATCAATAATCATTTCCGTGCTTTTTTCTAGTTCTTTTTTTTTTTTTTTTTTTTTTTTTCATGCTAATCTTCTCTGTATCATTCCAATTTTAACGAATGTTCGGAAGGACTTTTTTTTTTTTTTTTCCAAGTTTTTTGGCAATCTGAACCATTTCTTGACCTCGTTACGTTTCCTCCTCCAATTGCCATTGAAGGAAAAGGGGGTGTCCTTGGCAATGGTGACTGGCAGAAATGGAGAACGAAAAGGAGGGTGTGTGTCAGGACTTCTCTCCTATATGTAGTAACGATTTCTGAAAAGGGGGCTACCGAAAAAACAAAAAGGCTCCCACCATTACCCGAGTATGTGAAAAAAGGCATCGAACCCTCCTTGTCAATAGCTGCATGTACGTACGGTTATCATCGAGGGTCCGAACGCCAAAGACAAGGCGCCCGGCATAAGTTACAGGAGGACAACCCGATGGGATGCGCGCTAGGTATTCGGGTGAAAGGCGGTAGCAGTTCTAACGCCCTACCCAATCTTTTTTGGCGGGGGGTTCTGATCCCCCATTGGGGTGCCCATTTTTACGAGGTGATAAGAGCATTGAGGTAGGATAGTAGGGACAGGGGGTGCGCTGGGAGTATTAACGTGGGGATGGGTAGGGTAGGTGGCCTATCCTGTCAGGACAAGCATTGGCTGGCGTTACTAGCAATCACCGGGGGTCTGGTCCTTGACCTCTACAACACCCTGGGCTATTATAGAAAAAAAAAAAGAGCATCCTCATAAAACGGACCTCTTGGATGGAGGATCCAATCTATTGGCCGGGAGCATCACCTGCCGGAAACCGGGTCCAGCGCCGCTTATCATCCACTGTCTGTAGGGGTAGTACCTTCAATTGCCTGTGGGCTTTGTTCTACTCCGTAACCACTCACTTTCTTAGACCTGTTGATCCTTAGCCTACTCACTATCAATCCTACAATGCAACAAAGGCCTCGCACGGCTAGACACACTCCCTTGGGCTGACGCATGGTACTATGAAACCGCGCGCCATGGGGTTGCGCATAGGCAGGGGATGTCGTAGGGGGTGTTGCGCATAAAAAAAAAGTTGGGTGGTTGGGGGTGATTTTG